TAACGTTACCTACTTAGTCTCTCTCTCTCTCTCTCTCTCTCTCTCTCTCTCGAAAGTTTTCGCAATATTTCCAGTCTGGTTTCAAGTAGACCCAATAAAATGGCCATCGTCGTCTTCACGGACGCATAAAATACACCGGAGACCATTAGAAGCGGATTTACGTGGCTTCTTCGTCTTGCGAGGAAGTTCATTTCTCAAGAAAGGGAGGGTAAAAACCCTACGGCAAAATGGAATTGGATTTCGCTTGTAAGCCCCGCGGACGACTTCCATACGCGAGGCTAAGCATTTACAGACTCGTCTGATGAAAATAAATCCAGGCGCCGCCATATTACGATACTTTTATCACGCTGGGAGCAACACGGACGTGATTGAACGTGGGATAATTTTTACTTTTCACAACGGGAACGATAGCCTTTCCAAACGTTTCTAAGTGATCCCTCCTCGTGCTCCTGCCAGTTTCATTCCAAGTGGTCTCCTATTCTACAGCGAGTTGATCTCGAGATTACTCTTCTAACGCTACGCGGGAAAAATGACTTGCTTTGCAACAGCGGCACCCGTTGAGAGAAGCGAAATGATCCACATTTCCGAGGGGGGGGCACGGCGACAGACGTTGAAATGGAATTCGATTTTTACACGGATGTTGCGCGTTTGATATTGTCGGTAAATTGAAAAAGCCAGGTCCCTGGCAGGTGGAGATATGCTCCCGATGCTGTGAGCAATAATGTCCGAGCATTGAGTCTCGAATGTAATTTTATTTTAAGAAGCAATTTGCTCACATTGTATCCGCACATTCATAGAGGATTCTTTGTTATTAGATCATTAGATCTCCACGTTAATACGATTTCTATTGTTATTCCACGCTGACCTGGTCGAAATAATACAGCGATCAAACTAATATTTTTATCTAATGAGAACGAATTTTTCTTCGGTATTTTCGTGAATTTCTTTCATAAGCTCTAACGTTCGGAGGAGCAAAGTTCTATAAGAATATCCTCCTGATCGAGATACTTCCTCTTTTTTCAGAAATACATTTTTCATCGGTATACACTCTCGAACCGTGATCCAGTAAAGTTTCAAGTTTGAACAACTCCGCCATTGTGTTGCAAGTTTTTCCTTTTGTCGTGCTAACCGAATCGTATTGGGAATCGAACTTTTTGGTAGTCTCGTGTTTCTAAGACTTCTGCCGGAAGATAACAATTTAGAGATCCATCTCAGAAATTGCTACTGCAAAATGCAATGAATAAAAACGTGAGGCGTATTATTAAATAATACATATTAGGATTACGTAATCATCGGAGCTCGGGAAAGAATAGCGGATTATTAACGGCGTATTTTTGAGCGACGTGAAAAACGAGACGTTATATCACTCTGACGCAATTAAATGACGCCGAGATAATACGAGATTCCGTGCGTCTATTCGTTAAATATCATACGATGGAATAATTTCCACCTTTGACGTGTAATCATAGGGCAGATGAGTTCGCAACGAGCCATCGTGATATTTCACTTGTTTACTTTGTTACATACGCCGCATTCCACATTCGCGGCGTATGACGCGGAGGTTTGAACTTAAAGCGCATTCACTTTAAAGTTCCAGAGACGATAACCCGATCTTTGTCGTTTGGCGAGCGCTCTGGCGAATGTTAACTTCGTTTCCACGGGCTCGCCCTTCGGGAACCGTACCGCCCACACGCATGCGTATCGCGACCGGGGGGGGGGGAGAGGGGGTTGTTAATCACAACGCTATCGCGATATCGCGCGTATACGCCGTATGTAATTAACAATAACACAGCGCGGCCCGCGTGTTTTACCCCCCGGCGGATCGCAACGTTGCGCGCGTCCCGCCGGCGGACCGTCGTCGATAATACGATAATCATGACGGACGATTTGCATTACCGCCGATTTCGCGGTGCTCGCGGAACATTTTCCCGCGACGACGTCTCGAATTTCCGTTCGCTCGCGCTAACCAACGCCGTGACTGGCTCAGCGCAAAGAGCAGGCGGATCGTGATTTCGAACCCGCAGGGCTTCCAGGCCCAGCTTTCACTCCCGCGCGTCGGGGATCAATATTCGCCAGCAGCCCTCCAAAACCGTGTACGGACTCTTTCGCTCTCCCTCCCCCTCTCTCTCGCTCTCCCTTTCTCTTCCTCCTCGTCCGGCGCTTTTCCTATATCGCGCTGAATTCAACGTTTACCGTAGCCGGTCCTTTTCAGGTCTTCATTCTTCCTGATGTTTGTACCTTTTAACTAAACAGCTATGCTCCATTGAGCACCGCTTGCTCTCAAATTTTACTCCTCCGACAATTTCTTCTTTCGACAGA